TGTCATCACTACCCATCGCCATCTCTTGGGCTTGTCTTTTACCAACGAATTGTGGGTTTGTCTGTCACTTTATAACGCCGCCACGGCTGAAAGGGCGAGCATGTGTGATGTGACGGGGATTCGAACCCGCAGACTGCGAGTCGAGCGCCCTAACCACCTGACCATGTAAAACATTTAAGTTAATGTTCGGAGAATAAAAGGCTTAAGGATTAAGTCCGGATGATCGGCGCTTGTGTAATGTCTAAAATCTAATAAATGATTAAATTACAAAATAAACAACTTTTAATTGTGTAAATATGAAACGTTTTATCTTAATTATTTATCAGAGCTAAAAGATTAGGTTTTGCTAGAATGAATAGATAAACTAAACACAGGTGGAAGTTCGCAAACAAAAATGGATCATAGAAAAAAGTAAACAAGACAAAATTATAGTACAACTATAAACGAGAAGCGAAATTTATGATGAGTGAAGTATTTTAACATATCAGTAGTGACGTAAAACCGTGGAACTTGTAGTTGATGAAATAAAACGCCTTCATTCTTATTAAGTGAACTGGGCTTTGCATTATTTTTATCGAACAATACCCCCCCCCCCCCAAAAAAAAGAACCTCTCAATAATAGAAACTTATGCAACAATATTGCTTTTTAATACGTTTGTTCAACACTAGAATGCGATTATTGTTTTTCGGGGGGGGGTGAAATTATAATCCTTTTTGGCTCCTATTAAAAGGTTACAAAGGGAAAAATTGACATATTTTGATGAATAAATATTAAATGGGAAATTCTTGACAAATTGGAAACTGAACATTTCCAGTCCCGTACGTAGGTTCCATTACACAGTGAAGACGTGTTTATACTCTGCGTGTCTGAAATTACTGGGTTGTTTATAGCTAACTTGGCACGAGCACAGCAACTACGTGACAGGATTAGGTACCCCTAGTTTTGTTTGTTTGTTTGTTATTTTTGAATTTCGCGCAAAGCTACACGAGGGCTATCTGCGCTAGCCGTCCCTAATTTAGCAGTGTAAGACTAGAGGGAAGGCAGCTAGTCATCACTACCCACCGCCAACTCTTGGGCTACTCTTTTACCAACGAATAGTGGGATTAACCGTCACATTATAACGCTCCCACGGCTGAAAGGGCGAGCATGTTTGGTGTGACGGGGATTCGAACCAGCGACCCTCAGATTGCGAGTCGAGCGCCTTAACCACCTGGCCATGCCGCCCCCCCCCCCTAGTTTTCGATATCGTATGATGTTCTATTTAAACTGGGGTTTGATAAGCGAGATGTGAATACCTCCTGACAGGTTTTTATCTTATCAACATCAATAGAAGTTTGTGTGTTTTAGAGCAAAGCCACATTGGGCTCCTCTGCTGTGTCAACCACGGGGATCTAACACCGGACTTTAGCATTGTAAGTCCGTAAACTTACCCTTATTCTACAGGGGGGACGACCAAGAGAAGAAACATACAGCGTGTACATTACTTTAACAAACGATTAGATTACTGCAACTGTATCATTAACATAAAAAAAGGCAGTTTTCAAGCATCGGTTGTATTTTTGAATCTACGTGTTTTCCTAACAATATGGACAACATTTTAGCGCCAATCTTAACTGGACCGTTATGACTTTCTGGTTAATAATAGGTCTCGGCGGCGTACAACAAATAAGGTGCGACTCAAAAATACCGTTACGTACATTGAACTAGGCCAATACATAATAATAATATTCAAACAATTGTCGGTATTGTTGCGATACTGAATTATACATAATACCACTAAAATATTGTTGTTAACTTAGTTTGTCATCGCAACAAATATTTTATATTGTAAGTTTTGACCTAGGGCCGCTTTTTTTTTCTATTCAATTAGCTATGTATATTTTATTCTTGAAATTCATTCGTAAATAGTGTTATTAATATTCAGAGTTCTGACTCCTTTGAAAAATGCTCGTTCCTACTTTTCAATTTCGTGTTTTTTGTGTGTAAGGTATTTATCTATATAAATTGTCTGTTGTCTGTCCATGTAACTACTTCACAGGATGTGGTTGGATCTTCACCAAAGTCGGTATGGACGTTCATTAGGTCCATGCGAGGATAAGTACAAATTTTCAGTTTTGCATTTTGCGTTTTTGTGTTTTTTACCACTACTTCGCCCCCTGCTGATGGATCTTCACCAAATTTGGCATGAAGGAGATAAGTGCAAAGTAGCGGTTTCACATTTTGTGTTTAGCAGTTTTTATGGGCGTTTTTTACAATTACATATAAGTGAAGCAACTCTTCATGTCCTAAGATAACCTTTCATTAATCATGAATTTACATAAATTCCGTCCAGGGGACGGGTACCACAGCTAGTACGAAATAACGTAGAATCCCGAGTAAGTAAAAGTTACACATACGAAAATTTAGAAACGCAATCTCTCTATTTCTACATTAGTGAAACATTTCGCGGTAATGATATGAAGTGTCGTCAGGAGTTGTTGTTTTTTTTTTTTGGAAGGGGGTGTCATTTCTAAAAACAATATCACATGTAGGCCTAAGCACGCCATGAGTTAGTAGCAGTCCAATACGTGGTTCATAGCAAAGTTGATATAAGATTGAACAAGCACATTAGTTTGTTTGTTTATTTTGAACTTCGCGCAAAGCTACACGAGGGCTATCTGCGCTAGCCGTCCCTAATTTAGCAATGTAAGACTAGAGGGAAGGCAGCTAGTCATCACCACCCACCGCTAACTCTTGGGCTATTCTTTTACTAACGAATAGTGGGATTGACCGTCACATTATAATGCCCCCACGGCTGAAAGGGCGAGCATGTTTGGTGGGACGGGGATTCGAACCTCAGATTGCAAGTAGAGCGCCCTAACCACCTGACCATGCCGGGCCAGCACATTAGTAAAGGAAAATGGTTAAGATATAAAAATATAAGGCCACATTCAATGATTTTTGCAGCGTTTGATTTTCTGTGACCATTTTACATCTTCAGGTGTAACGAATATTAGGTGATGAATTCGCGCTCTAAATATAAATTACAATACAAGTAGTATACTATTAAATATTAAAGAAACATAGCGTATTAATAATATAAGAATAAGAATATTTTCTTACTTAAGTGTAATTTAAATGGTCCCTATATTATTCATGCTCGCCCTTTCAGCCGTGGGGGCGTTATAATGTGACGGTCAATCACTCTATTCGTTGGTAAAAGAGTAGCCCAAGAGTTGGCGTGGGTGGTGATGACTAGCTGCCTTCCCTCTAGTCTTCCACTGCTCAATTAGGTACGGCTAGCGCAGATAGCCCTCGTGTAGCTTTGCGCGAAATTAAAAAAAACAAGCAAACAAACATATTATTCAACACATATTTCTATATTTTTAACACAAGGAGAGGGGTGTAGACTCACAGAATTACGGTGTCTTTCTTCACAAATTGCAATATCACATTTTATTGAAGGATTAACCGTTAGCACCACCTGCATATTTTTACTTGGATGTTTACTGTAATGAAACAAATGGCGAGACAAATATTAAACTATCACTTACTTAATTAATTAAGAAATTACAGTTTTGTTAAACTGAAATAATTTTGTAGCCTCACCACATCGGTACAGTCCGTGTTGTTGTGTACGATCATGTTTTTTCTGACGACAATGCATTTTTAAAGAGCACTGTAGTGTAACTTTCATTATAAAAGGCTCCGTGATAAGTCTGTCTTGTCTACAACACACCACTCTTCCTTGTGTGCTTTCCATAACCTATCTAGCGTAAGAAGAAGCTAGTTTCCCAGTGCTCGTTTTAACAGTCTGATCACAAATAAATTCATAGATGCTTCGTTCAGTAACTAGATCGATATGTCTTCGTAAGGAATATAATGAATACCCTTTTCATGTTTCAGCTACTTGAGGAACGCGACAGTTAAACGAACATGTACTGAAAGCAACATGTGTGCACGTGAGTTGTGTCGCTTTTTCAGAAAGAGATCCTTTTTGATTATATTGCATATTGTTGCCCAGAGCAAGTGGACGGCTTTTACCACATTTCTTTATGTTTCCATGTTGTTGTTTTCTAACACAGCTGCATCCGACTTGTTGCAGGTCTCTTTCTGGATGGTCCGGTGCTACTAGTTAATCCAATTTCATTTTTTTTGTTTCCAAATGTCATTAAGTATAAGGGATTTCCCTGACTTGGAAATTCTGAATCCCCGATCTTAACACATACTTATTATTAGAATGTATGAACATTATCAGAAAATGCTGTTACATACACCTCCTAGCAGCGATCAGATAAGCAATGTCAGAATGTAATTTTGATTTTTTTGTTTGAGTTATGCACAAAGCTACACAATGGGCTATCTGTGCTCTGCCCACCATGAGTATCTAAACCCGGTTTCTAGCATTGTAAGTCCCCAGACATACTGCTGTGACATTTGGGGGGGAGGGGGCATAGTATTGATAAATTCCCACTGCGACTTTATGTAGGTTGTGATTGTCACGTGACTTGCTCATTTGCATATTCAAAAATGTTTTAATATGATGTACTCGACCCTCTTTAGTATAGCATTTGTTATATCAAATTATAATTACGAATAACACTGATTCCTTATATAAATGTTCCTTAACATGGGCATTAAGAAAACTACAGCTTCAATATACAGAAATAAAACGTTTTCTTATAAGTGTTAATTTATATTTCTCTATATATGAAGATACTGATAGAAAAGTTAAGTGCTGTGAATACTTGGTATAAAACGGCCACCATCTATATACTTTTCACGCCTATTATTCAACCCGATTTCAACCATGCATGCAGCCTTAGGGCTTCCCGGTAACTGATATAAGGATTAGCGTTCGGATTTTACGTTCCAAGTGCACAAGGATTTTACTCTACTAGAGGTCGTCGCATACGGCTTCTTCTATTTGTCGAATCTGTTTATTTAAGTCGTTCGGGCCTGGGCTCGTGTCTTGGATAATCAGAGTGAATCGAGAAGGAAACTACGAGTTAACTGAAATAAGATTGGCGAGAGAACTTCATCTGAGGAGGAAAAACCAACCAATCCAAGACAGGATACCTGATACCACTACAATACAGCAAGGAGTGTTGGTTCGTGAATCCAAGTTTATTTAGTGCACCAGGGTCTGCTGAGCGACAGTCTTCTCCCGCCAAGAGGTAAGCCTAACATTCTGCTCTTAACGCTAGTAATAGTAATACTGGTTTATAGAATGCTACGTTTACCACTAACCTACTATATTACTTAACATTTGAATCTATTAAAACGCGAACTTGCTGTGCTTCATGTATATTCATGTATTATTTTCTCTTCATTTTATAGATTGTAGTTTCAACGTCTCGTTTACACAGACTAACGGTGAATTCTCTGATTTGAAAGTTCTAATAGAATATTTAAAAATAACGTGAAAAACTTATAATGTTGAATAGTAAGACATAGATATATATTGCGGATTTTAGGATTATTTGTTCACTAAGATTTGACAATGTAACATCAAATTGTGTAGAAGTTTCATGCAGTTGTTTTTGCTAAAATCGTTTTAAAATTACATGCAGGCACCAATGCCTTGTCTCCACATCACTATATATGGAATATCTTTAAGGCATGCTTTAATTTAAAAAAAAGTTGTCTCACAGAAGTTAGATTTACACAATGATCTTTATTTCGTCTTTCATGCAAAAAAATGTCAACTTTATGTCAAAATTTATTTATCTATTCGTCTTAAAGTATTGTTAATGATGTAAATATGATTTTTTTCTGGAAAATCCGTACAAAATAAAAAGTATACGTAAGCTGTAAAATTATGAAAACGAATGAAATCACAAAAAGTTTTATGGCTTGCTATACATTAAATAACGGATATATATATGTATGTGTTATTATAAAATCTCAAATGGAGTATAATCAATACAGTTTATATAAAGATATTTATTTTGCTTTCGAACAAGGACAAAAATTGATTCCAAAAGGTTTGAAGATACTAGAAGTTAAATGTCTTAAAAATCGTAACAATGAAACAGGATCTTGCTTTATTTATTAGAATCAGTTGTTGTTTCTGTGTTAATAAGGCGAATTGGCATTTCTAGCGAATTCTACAGTTTTAGAACTGTACAAAAAGTTAAATACCGTATTGTTTTCAAATAAAAACTGTCAGTGCCAAAAACTTGGGATTCCTTATATAGGCAACGTAACAAGAGGCGCTTCAGAGTTATTTTAAGTCAAACCGGGGACCGTTAACAAATTGTGTAACACTTTTAACCCAGCCCTGATCGTGTTTGGAATTGTTTTCGTTAAGATTTTTTACAGTAACATAACTTAAAATCTGAATTTGTTACATAGATGTTTCTCCACTTAAGTATATTTGTACATTGATTAAACCCAAATAATAATAAATAAATAAAATAACATTTGAAACTTTTAATATGCCTACGCGTATTTTCATAAATATATTGAATTAGGATGGCTCAGTGATTAAATTTCTCGGTGTTTTTAAATGAGCTTTATAAATTGATAATTAATTAGACAGGTAAATGAAACGTACAGACAGACAGATAGATGAAATTTCAAATTTATGCAGATATGTAAGACCGTGTTTTGCAATAAAATTAAACTCGCAAGTTTTTTTTTAAATCAAGATACTTTTTTTTTCACTTTACAGCTCGAATTATGTATACTTTACTTGAATTTATATTTCAATTTGTCGGTTAGTTTGTTGTTAAGCAAAGCGCCACCTATACTCTTCTCACCGTGGAAATACATATTATTAATCCTTACCCTAAAATATAATTTGTGACTTAAATAAAATCGATAATAATTACAATTTTCTCATTAAATCTAGTTTACACGAAACTGTTGTTTTTCATGCCAGGTAGTTATATAAATAGCGCCTAAACCAGTGCTACGTCTAACGTATACCAGCTGGTCTAATGAACCCTGGTATTGGGCGAAAGATCTCGTCGGCACTGGATATGGAAGGTATAGTTTAGTTGACACATTATAACATAATCTTTACTTTCCCTTACGAGTTCTTCGAATTAGGCTTATTTTGGGAAAGTCTCAGTGTCTACTTAGGTTAGCATATAAAATTATGAAAGAACTTGAACCACGAGGTCTAACGGCCAGATCATAGACACCGTGAAGGTAACACCCGCCGTCTCAAGGGCTTTGTGAGGAACCGAATAATGGAATTATAACGTGCCCACAGCCCAAAGTACACACCATATTCAGCGACCTGACATCTGAAACCTGGGATCCTTCGATACGCACCACTACCGCTCTCCATTAGGCCTTATTCAGGACATTTTATATAAAGCACTGCCACAGCAAAAGGTTAGATAAAAGACTGATAGATGTGTAGAAGTTGTTCAATTATTATAAGACTAATTATGAGGAAATTATAGAAAAAATTTCAATCGTTCGTGGCTAACTGAACACTCTTCTCTCTCTCAAGGAGCCCCTCAGTGGCACAGCGGTATGTCTGTGGACTTATAACGCTAGAAACCGGGTTTCGATACCCGTGGTGGGCAGAGCACAGATAGCCCATTGTGTAGCTTTGTGCTTAATTTCAAACAGACAAACAATCTCTCAAGGATTTGAAGCTACCAATTTTTACACAAATAGTTAGTGTTATCTCATTCAATGCGGCAGTAGTGTTTAATAGTTAGTGTTATCTCATTCAATGCGGCAGTAATGTTTAATAGTTAGTGTTATCTCATTCAATGCGGCAGTAGTGTTTAATAGTTAGTGTTATCTCATTCAATGCGGCAGTAGTGTTTAATAGTTAGTGTTATCTCATTCAATGCGCCAGTAGTGTTTAATAGTTAGTGTT